ATTGGTACTGGAGATTGACCTAGAGTATTCTACATCCCATTCCCTTTTTCATTTTTTATTTTGAGTCAGGGTCTTGCTAACTTTGCCCAGGCTGGCCTCAAATTTATAGTCTTCCTGCCTCGGCCTCCTAGAGTGAGTGCTAGCGTTACAAGTGTGCACCACCATGTCTGGTCTCACTTTATTAACTTGTGTTGTGTTTGATTACCTCAAAGTAATAGCAAAAAGTTTGACACTTACGAAAATGACTTTATAAACACTGTAGAGATATAAATTTAATTCAGTGGTTTTTTTTTGTTTGTTTGTTTCTTTCTGAGACAGAATTTCAATATGTAGTTCAGGCTCGCCTTGAATTCACTGTGTATCCCAGGCTGGCATCAAACTTGTGCCAATCCTCCTGTCTCAGCCTCTTGAGTGCTGGGATACAGGCATGTACCACGATGCCCAGCTAGTTTAATGTTTTAAAAGTATTTCACTTAAAATAGCATATGACAATCATGATAATCTCACGAGGAAGCACACTCACACATACAGCAGGTGTCTAGCAGTCTGTGGGTACAGGCTGAAGCATTATAGCTGTACCTTGCTGAGTTCTATGAACCTCTCGAAGTTCCCAAGATGAGGACAGAGAGTGGGTAGAGAAAAAAGGACAAAGTTCTTAGAATACCTAGAACAGAGGCCAGATGGAGTCTTCTCTCCTCATGGAAAAGAAGAAAGAGGAGGAGCAGGAAGAAAGGCCCCAACAGCTGCAGTGCATTTGTTTATACACTCGGGAGACTGAATGACAAGTACTTTACCCACATGGCTTGCCTCAGGTGCCCAGTGTTCTTGAGGCTGACCTTGCTCCAGCCCTGCACGCATGATCGATCTCCAGCTTCAGCTAGTCCCCACATCTCCCCCTTTTCTGTTTTGTAGTTGTAAGCAATGGGTGGTCAACTGCAGTTGGAGGAGCTATGCTGGGAGGAATCTGTAGAAGACCTTTTTATTTTCGAGCCTTTTTCATTGTAGATGAATTTGCTCCATTTAGGCTAAACATTTTAAGTTCCTGCATATAGCAGTTGAATTCTGTGCAGCATGCTATCACAGAACAGTGGTCAGTTACTGGGGTAGTTGGCAATTATTGTATATTTCTCATGGTTATACTTTTCTGCTGGATGTTCAAGACCAAATTGAGGCGAGACTGGTATTACTCAGTGTTTGCTGTTTATCTAGGTCAGTTACATTTCCTCAGGATTTACCTTGGAACCATGTATAGCATCTCTAGTTCTTCAGTCAGTGTCAGCCATGTGGATGAGCTATGGTCATTGCCTGACCAAGTTGTTTTCTGTGAAAGCTTAGGAAACCCTGTTCTCCTAGTGACTTTCCTGAGGCATACTATACATCATGGATCTTTATTCTCTGTGGTCCTACAGCCTCCTGATCAGGAGTTTGTATAGGTCACCAGAGTTGCAGGATGTCATTGAAAATGTTCCCTCATGTCCTGGGTCCTCACTGACCCCTGAGAGCTGGGGCCAAAATATCGGCTGTCCTTATATCCCATCAACCTTTCTAGTTTTTGAAAATCTGGAAGAGAAGGTTCATGACACAACATTTTATAATGGGGGCAGTGAGCTTAATATTATTATTTTATCTGAATATCAAGCACCTTGGAAGATAAGCTAGAACTGTTATTTTCTAATACCCATAACTGTTCTAATAGTTGAATCTCTGTAGAATGCTAACAAGCAATAGTTATACGATTTTATGCAAAAAATTTAAAATCAAAACAATACATAATGTAGCATGACAATCATGATGACATTTTTGTGACATGTTAGTTTCCATTTTGACATAGTATTGCTCTTTTAATCAATCATCTCTAATACATAAGCTTTTACTAACTTGTTGATCTTCAATGGGATTTTACTGAGGAAATTTGTGACATTGTGTGGATTGCTTAATGTCAAGGCATCTCTAAGTATAATGGCACATATATAGCATATATATCACATAAACTTTTGTTATTACTGACTGGTGGCCTCATGTTGGCTTGACATAACCCTCCTATTACAATTATTTGGAGCACAAGGGAAAGTCAAATAGACTATGAAAGAAAAGGTCTCTCACCATAAATAATCTCAACTTTACATTTTAGAAGATGGTATACCTGGAAGACATGAATACATTTAATACAGCATGATATTAACAATAATTGGTCATATCTTTGCAGAAATCCTTTGTTTCTTAATTTAGTGATACACCAAGAGCATCTTTTATAAGAAAACCTTATTATATTATTTCTGGAAAACTTAACCTTTGGTTGGTGACCAATTTATTGAGGGTATCTCCCATAATGCTGTGAAGATTATTGGGACTTCCCATTAATGAACAAGGACTGGTTAATTATCTAGGCAGCTGCTTCCTTAGTCATCAATCGAAGTCCTATCCAATAGTCTCTGCACACCCAAAGGATTTTTATTTAATTGTCTTAATTTTTGATGACTTAATGAAAACCTGGTCACAATATTTAACAACTTTTGAACAATGAGAGACTCTCAAGTTATACAACATAAACAACAATACACATTACATTTATACAACAACTTTTAGCATCATTTTGACTAGCTGATACAGTTCCAATCCAAGTGGAATCATATCAGACAAATGCTTCAAAAATCAACAAATGCAAAAAGGAAGGAAAGGAGAAAAAAGAAAATTGTTGAGCTCAACAAAGATAGCTGATAAATGAACAAACAGATACAAGGACAATCAGCTTGTACTGATTGCCCAGAGTGCACTCAAAATATATTTTCTGGCCAAAGTAAATTATAATAACTTTTATAATTCTAGAAGTTTATTAATTGTTAATAGATTAGTCCAGATTTTTTGTAGGTCAATTAACAGAGCTCTCTTACAAGAAAATTTGGAAGGAATGAACTCTTTCATCTATAATTATTACATAATTTTATATTTCACTTTATCTTAACACTGGCAATCTTTGTGTTCCTTTCTTTCACATAGCCTCCAGCTCAGTTGTCTAGATATACTCTGTCACCTACTTAGGTCTTTTTTTCCCATTTTTGGTTAATATCTCCTAGGCATCCTCGGTCAGTTTCTTTAATTGACCCCAGATCAGTCCTAGCCCCCATATTTGTCTATCGGTGTGGTACATTCTCCAAGGCATCACTGCCGCTGGACTGAGCATCACCTTTTTGAGAGGTGGAACCTTCTCTGTCTTCAGGTCTGGGTTCATGATACAGCTCGACAGCACGCTGTCACCCACATAGGCTGTTTAGCATTCTCTGGAAAGTCAAGCACACCCTCTAACCCAAGTGAGTAGTAGGCTGGTCCCTTTCATTTTCTAGTATGAAGATGTTCCCAAAGGACCCTTATCAGCCTCTTTTCTTTCACCTGATTGAATTGTTTCTGCTGCTGTAGTTCCATTCTTAGTGGGATTTAAAAAGTTAATAGCGTACTGTGCCAAGTGAAGTCTATTATGAGTTGTGAATTTGTCAGGGAAAGATTCCCCCTTCTGTTTTTGTTTTTGAATTTTGAGTGTGCAGTGAGCATATCCAACAATTCTTTGACCTTGAGAGTTTTAAAGAATTCCTGTGGTAAGGGAAATGTGAAAAGTTTTACAAAATGTTTCGAAGACAGCACTCGTATAAGCTGGTCCATCATCTGTCTTAAATGACCATGGCAACCAAGGGTGCTAAAGGCATCCAGGGGTGCTAAAGGCATCCAGGGGTGCTAAAGGCATCCAAGCAATGACATGTTGGGGCAGAAGGAAAAGTAAATTCTACATATCCACTGAAACATGGACCCAGGACAAAGAGCCAAACTCAGGAATGTGAATGACACCTATTTGCCAGAGGCAATTGGAGTAAAACCCTCAGGGATTAACCCCATAGGGAGTGAGGGAAGATGTATTGCACTTGAGGAACAAACATTGTTTAATGATTTGTGGAGCCTGTTCCCAAGTTAAAAGGAGCTGTTTGTGCAGTGCAGAATCATTCTGATGGAAGGTGGCCTGGAAGGCAGAAGCCTGTTGAACATTATCTGAGGGATCAACAGTGACAGTAGCCAGCAGTCTGTCAATTGTAGCATTTCCCTGAGAGAGAGGGCCTTGCAATTAGGAATGGGAACATAAATGACCAGTGAAACAGGATGTGGCCTCCCTGAATGGCAAATTGGAGCACATAAAAAACATCTTCCTGATTAGCATGAATGGTGGCAATTTCAATGTGACGCATCACACGACAGACATAAGCACTGTCTGAAGAGGTTAGCTGGAGTGGATGAATGATCTTGTAAGGCCCCTAGCACGGCCTGCAATTCAGTCTTTTGAACAGAAGAAAAACTTCTTCTTCCTGTATTTGGACACCCAGGGCTCTCACTTTCCGCTTCTGCCTCTGGCTGTGGTTGCGGCTCCCACCCTGTCACCTCAGACCTGTGGGCGAGCTCCCCTGTTTAGGCTTATCACCTGAGGAGAGGACTGTTGTCCCTTGTCCCCGCCATTTGGAACCAATGCTTGGTGGTGGTGACCAGGAGAGTCAGTGCCCGCCCTGCTGCAGGGACGGGCTCCCTCTCCAAGTCGGCTTCACCATTGTCCCCTCCCGAGAGGATGCTGCCCTTTTTCCCTGGCTTCTTCCTTCCCTGACGTGGGCTCTTGTGCCTCTTGAGACTGCCAGCAGAGTGTGGAGTGTAGAGGTACATGATGGCTCCTCTCTGCTCCACCCTCACCCCTCCCTCCCTGGACACTGTGCTGTGCTGAGCCTGCTGCTGGGGTGGCCAGTTCCACCTACAAATCAGAAGAATTTCCCTTTGGCAGTAAATAATCTCCCTGACTTAAACATGCGTTAGCTATTTCTTTTTTGTCCCCCACAGCTCCTTATCTCAGTGAGCAAAGTGAGAGGGATTTAAACTCTATGGGGGTGGGGCTGTTGTTCTGCCATCTTTTTTCTGCTCAGGGCTTAATTTTAATATCACGCTCAGAGCCACATCCTCTGTGGTCATCTCAACAGGCTCATGACAATCAAGACACTTCCTGATCCAGAGCCACACAAAAAAAGTAAGTACAGGAATCTGTAACAGAAGGAGGAGTTGGATTACACCTGTTGTTCTTGAGAACCTACTTACTTTTTAACACCTGATAAGGGCGACTCACCTCTCTCCCTTTTGTTTCTTGTGAGCCTGTTTTTCTCTTTGGCCCTAGCCAGCCCGTTTTTGTCTTAGGCTTCTCCAGAGCCTGTTTTTCGCTTCTTAGTATGCACCCAGCTAGAGGTCTCCTTTGACCTGCTATCCCGTATTTCCTCGTCCCCTGGTCCCTGTTCAGGCACCAATGCCTCATCATTGCAGCTCTGGATATTCCCAGAGTGAGGCCAGTGAGAGGATGGAAAGTCAGAAAACAGAAAACCTAGGCGGTGGAGCCCTCTCTTTGATGGCACGGAAGGAAGGGAGGGAGGAGGAGTAGTTGCAGCACATTTATGTACCCACTCAGGAGGTTGACCATCATGTGAACCACCCCCTAACAGTTTCTCCATGTGGCTTGCCTCGGGCGCTCTGTGTTCTGGAGGCTGGCCTTGCAAGTGTGATCGATCTCCAGCTACAACCACTCCCCACAGTACCTTAGGAAGAATTAACGGAGAATGATCTTTAACATCTGTTAAAAGCGCTGAGTTCGAACACTGAAGAGAGGCATAAACATCTGCTCGGCAGGGAGAATGTGAGTGTTTCAAGTCCAAAAAATACAGAGAATAGTGTCCCTAACTTCACGTGGAGGATCAAATTTCTGCAAGTTTTGCTTGGAGAGGGCAGATTTTGAGTTGGAAGTAGAGAAAAGCCATTCTGGAATTGGAGACTAATGGAGCTTTGGAAAGGATGGGGATGAGGGAGACAGGGTTCTCACCTGGTTGGCCCAGGACAAGGGCTGTCCATGCTCTGCCTCCAGTGGCCCCCGCATCTCCCCTTTCACCCCCCAGCTGGTCGAGGGCCTTCGCCCTAGTTTCAGAGTCTTTGCCTCACCTGATTTCCACCTCAACCTGCCTCACTTGGCCTGCAACTGATCTACTTCAGACGTAGACAGGAGCCTAAGTCTTCCTGCCACACAGCTGCTTTTAATGGACAGACTGTCCCACATCTCACTGTAAGATGGAGGCTTCACTGAACTACTTCAGCATTTGACCTAGAGTCTCTCAGCCTTTCCTGTAAAACTGGCCCAAGTCATATGACAAGGCTTCCAGGAAAGTTCAGTGTTGCGCTGACCAGCTGTCTCTGAAGAGCGTGATGCTGCAGCAGAAGGCTGCTCGAAAAGGAACAAGCACAGCCACCCCAGGTGTCTCTGTAGATTCTTCCCCTATAGCCTGTGACTTCTAAAGATAATTAGAAGTCCCAGTGACATTTCACAGAGACCACTCCCTGCTCACTGGAAGTCCACAAAAGGGGAACCTTCCTGCCCACCCAGAGTAAAATAGCCCACTGAGGCTGCTTCAGAGTCTAATCCCACTGCCTCAGGATTTTAAAATTAGAAACAATCATACAGAGGGATTCCTCTTACTGGTCTGTGTGTTGGGGTAATTATGGCATTCTGTGTTTGATAAAGTCTGGAATCCTTTTGCTAAATTAGTGAATATCAAGGTCAAGTTGAAAATTTGCATTTTTTTGACATCTTTTATTTATTCCTAGATGATGAACCATCTGGATTCAACAAATGAAGAAAACCCAGTGATTACTGACGAACCAGTTGCCCAGCAATAATACCACACAGACCTACAATAATGTGTTCTTGATTTTCTACCAATAGAGTTTGACTTTTTAAATCAACTTTTGAATTGACATTCTGAAAGCATTTTCAGTGGCATGTTTGCAAATATATATTTCTACAGGCTGGTACTGATAATTATAAATAATTAAAATACATTTGCTTTTAATTATCTTAAAGTTGTGCCTTCACATTAAATAAAAGCATATGGTCTGTGTATTGCCAATATACATTATATACATGATATATTTTTAAAGTTCCTTGGCCCATCCCTGTACTTTCCTTACTAAAATACATTTCCTTTAGCTCTAATGACAGATTGAACTGTAACTGTCAAAATGTTTCTGCACAAATTTTTTTTTGTTAAAGAATTACGCATGTTGTATCTCCTCTCAAGGAATAATTGTTTAAGACCATGCAAGAAGGTAGCTATTCAACAGGGAAGGTTTGGATTTTATATCATGCAGAGGTTATAAATGTATAATTTGGGAATAAATACAGTGATTTTTATAATGTTTTTAAAATTAACAACTTTTTTAAACTTGAGAAGCTAAATTATTCAGATGTACTATGTTCAAATATTTTTTCAGATATAGAAAAGCATACAGAACTTGTCATGAGAGGACACAGGAGCTGAAATGTGGTTCATAGTAAACCACTGTTTTCTCTCTTTCTCTTTTTTGTGTTTTTTTTTTTGAGACAGATTCTCATTATGCAGTTCAGGTTGTCCTCAGACTCTCAATGATCCTCCTGCCTCAGCCTCCTGAATTGCTGGGATTACAGGCGTGTGCTACCATATCCAGTTTAACCACCATTTTCTTGTACAGTGTTGATTTCTATACTTTTGATTTCACTTTGGTGTTATCCATCTTTGAAATTTGATGCTAAACTTTGATCTTTTGTTGTTGTTGTTGTTGCTGTTTTGTTTTTGGTACCTGGGATTGAATTCGTGACCTCACCCTTGCCAGGCAGACAGTTACGCCACTGAGCTAAATCCCCAGCCCTTAACCTTTGATCTTTCAAAAAAATTTTTTTTGTCAAATGATATGTTAATGTTTACGGCTCATTGTTTCAGAGTAACACCCTTAACAATTCCACATCCTTGTCCTCCCCCTCACCTCCACTCCTTTCCCCATGAGCCACTGCTGTCAGCCACAAGGAGTGGGGGTTTCCTAAGGTATAAGACACACAGGGACTGTTTTTTTTTTTACCGGTACCAGACATCGAACTCACGACCGCATGCTTGCAAGGCAGGTGCTTAAGCTGCTGAGCTAAATCCCCAGCCCCTCACACAGGGACTGTTGATCCGTTTTCTCATCTACAGGATAGTACAGAGGACCAGTCAGTCATGTGCCCACTTTTGAAAAACTTTTACCATTCTTTGCAAAAATCTTATCCTTAGAGCCAGAGATCAAGTTACCTTTTTCATTTTCTTTTAGTTTCTCTAAGGAAGTCCCAATTGGTAGGTGATTGCAGAAGCAGCAAGATTTTGCATATCTGTGCAAATAATGCACAAAATATGTGACCATATGCACTCTTTCATCTTAAGGCCAACTCATTTTACTAAAAGATTAAAAAAAATACCCAGGTGTGATATCATATGCCTGTAATTCCAGCACTCTGGGAGGCTAAGGCAGGAGGATTACAAATTTGAGCCTAGCTGAGCAACTTGGTGAAACTGTCCCAATGTACAAAAAAGAAAGAAAGAAGAAAAGAAAAGAAAAGAAAAAGAAAAACTGCGGACATAGCTCAGTCCAAAGGGCCAGAATTCAATCCCTCGTACAAAAACAAAGTAAAACAAAAAAACCTGTGTGTGTTAGTACATCTCTGTAATCCTAGCACTCTGGATGGCTGAGGCAGGAGAATCTCAAATACAAGCCCAGCCTGGGCAAGTTAGTAATTTAGTGAGACCCTAAAAAAGACTTGGCATGTGGCCCAATGAGAAAGCTCCGGGTTTAATCTCTAGTACCAAACCAAACAAAAACACGTAATGCTTTTTAAAATGAATCAGACTTTCGATGTTTGAACTAAAGTTAGCATTAGATGCATTTGTTTAATTGTTAACTTTTGAGAGTAAATTGCAAATAGTTAATACAGCTATGGGTCATTTTGCCTATGGCAGATAACTCACTGATAAGGAGGAGTTAATCTTAATTTTCTTCCATTATATAAGTTTGAATTTTTTCCAAAGAATCTAATTTATTTGGCAGACTCTGATAGAGAACAGATTTTAGGGCCATTTTAAAACTTCAACTGTATTTTCATTTATAACGTCAGTAGTATGCTTGCCAAAATATAGCTTTTTTAGTAAAATTATCTGTCCTCACCTAAGCTTTATGATCGTCAAAAGCCTCAGTCACCTTTTATGAAGCATTATTGACCTTTCTGGCTTTTTTCTTTTGTCTCAACTACAATGAAATAGGACAATTTATCAAAGTAATTTTGTCTCATTAATTAATGACTGATATTTCTTATCCTAAGTTTCAGGTTTTAGCCCAGAAAAATATTAACTATTATCACTAGAAATCGGCATTATTTGGTACAGATTCTACATTGTCCAACTAATAGCTATCAGAGAAGTGTACTGTGGTCTGGTTTGCTATTAACCTCTCTGGCTGGTGGCTGAGAGGTAACTCTTGGGTTGCAAGGCCCGAAGTTTGATCCCTAGAACCCACAAGAGAAAAAAGTTATGGAGTACACAGAAACATGAAAGAGGGGCTGGAGATTTAGGTCAGTGGCATAAGCGCCTGCCTTGCAAGCAGGCAGTCGTGAGTTCAATCCCCGGTACCGATAAAAAGGAAAAAGACTAAATAAATAAATAAATAAATAAACAAATAAAACATGAAAGAATAAATGAAACTCCTAGAGTCGACCCACAATATCAATTTGATATTGTGCTTAATCTTTCTTGTAGCCCAGAAGAAAATAGTTATTTAAAGAAATTGAAGTACAGCAATATTTTATGTTGGGAGTCAAGATGAACAAAGAATAGGGAAGATGAAAATTTAACTCTTCTGTGTTTATCAATCAGTAACTTGAAGAAGAAGAGAATCTTGAGTTTCTCTTAACATGTCTTAAAATCACCAAAATACATTGTACTTATTAATACTGCAAAAAAGAGATTATTTCCTACAAAGTCCTTATGAACTCTTGTGTGACTTATCAAATAGACATAACTAAATAGCTCAAATTATAATGTACATAGTTTTTCCATCAGTTTAGTTCAGCCAAAACAAGAAGCTTGTGAAGAAGGACCTTGATACCCTAAGACATTGTGGGGGGGGGGGTTCCTCCTCGCCTGTAGATTTTTTTTTTTTAGATGATCAACTCTTTGTCACTTGAGCTTGCAACTTACTGCTCTTTTAAAAGAAGAGAATTTTGGTCCATGTGGTATTTTCATTTATACATTTTGGATACATATCCATAGGATTTTGGTGGAATAATACCTTTGTAATCATATAAATGAGCTTTTCAATTTCCTTTACTCAATTTCTGCTTTAGATATAAACAAAAAGCTTATTTTTATATTGGACTACAAATACTTGAACTGACTTGCTTAAGCTTGATCTCTAAAATTTTAGTATGATCTCAGCTAATGAAATTTTAGAAACATAAGAATTGCATCTCAAGCTGGTGGGCTACAGCAGTTTAAGGAGGTTTCCACTAACCAGTTTATGGTTTCCACTAAGAAGAAAAATGCTCAATTTATTCAGGATGATGCTACATGAGCAGTTTCACAGTTTAAATTGTTAGTGTGCTATTTGCTTCTGAGGATAATTCTAAAGGGCCAGGGTCAGTAAAATACTGAGTATATGTCACTCCATGTTTTCTGGAAGAAAACTACTCTGGATTCAAGGGATCTGAATCAAATTATTCACCTCTTTGGAATATATTTCTCTACTATGTTAGAGTACTGTGTTTAGAGTTTTTTTTAAAAAAGTAATATATAGAGTATAAATGTAAGTTTCCATGCTTAATGTTTCTTTAAGACAACCTTGGTATTTGAAAATGTTCGAGAACAAATTATTTTTAAAGCAAAATTTTAAGGTCACCCTTATTATTGGCAAGTAAGGGGCAACCAAAAGACAGTATTTTGTCATCCTGTGGTTTCTTGATTAGGCATAAAGACTAGCACAAGCAGCTGTATACTCCTGTGGAATCTAGATCTTTTTGTTAATATCTAAAGTTTACCTAGGGCATTTTCCAGTAGGATAAGTTAATATAAGTTAGTTCTTGCCATTTTTGTTTTACCTTCTGTTGTATTTTGCTCAAATGAGGACCTTTTTAAAAATACATGATTGGATTTTTACCTTTTTTTAGATGATTGCCCTAAGCATGGGGTTTTTTAGATACTTTGATATGTAAGTTAGTATAAATTCTTTTATAACTCGACTAGGTTTTATTTTTTAATGGACATAATTTCAAGTTTAAAATATTTGAAGTGTGAATGTAGCAGTACTCATGGTGTGCCAACACTGACAACAGTTTTAATGCATTGAACTCATTGTAATATTCAATAAATTCTATTTTAAAATAAAAGTCGAGTCTTTTATTTTGTGTGGTAAAAAAATGAAAATGATGTGGAAATACTTGATGGTTATAGATCACAAAAATGGGAAGAAGAACTTACAGAATTCTGTAATTACTTAGGTCTGGCATATTCTTAAAACCCAGATCCCATAGCTGGTACTTGCTGGAAATATACGTTGCTGCAGACTAGCACCTGGTAAATATTTACCACAGCTTTGCCAGTGTAGTTCCAACAAAGAACTGATCCCTGCCGCCATAGAACATGCCATGGGGTGGGGTTGGGTTTGGAACCCCACACTTGCTGGCTACACACCCCAGCTCAGATGGGCCCCGCTCGGTGTCTGTAGTTTATCTTGATGACCTGGTTCTAGCTCACTGCCCACCTACTACAGAGGTCCAGTGTAGCCATCTGAGGGGAGGGGGCAGGTGGCCAGGACGAGGTGCGAGGACACTTCTCTCTTGTGTACTTTTTGTTGTTCTGTTTTGTTTGAGACAGGGCCTCGCTATGTAGTTCATGGCGATTCTCCTGCTTCAGCCTCCTGAGTGCTAAGATTACAGGCCTGTGTGATTGTGCCATACCTTTTGGATTTTCTATCTGTTGCTTCCGCTATATTTCAGAATATAAATCATAAAAATCTCTTGAATTATTTTCTTAATGGTATTTATGCCCAGATAGGGACCACTGGAAAGGGACAAAAGGCTGGGACAACACAACCCCACCCTGGGAGCAGGAAACTGCTACCTTTGCTACCTAGTGGCAGGTTGCAAACTCAGGCTCACCCTGTGCTCTTGTCAACAGACCCATCAGGGACTCTGATGAAACCACAGAAGCAGATACTTCCAAAATGAGGGGTTGGTTACCAAGGGAATCCTAACTAAACCCTCCAGCTTCCCTGGGCTGACCTCCAGTCACTAACTTGGGAACCACCTGGGTAGGGAAGTTTGCTTCTCCTTGCCTTAGCTGTGGATAGCTCAATGGCTAGAGTACTTCTTAGCCATCGAGGGCCACGTGCTCTGGGGACTTGGGGCTTCTGGGCTTTATCCTGTTTTTGTGGCACAAAGGATTGAACCCTGAGCCTTGGCCCTGAGCCACAACTCCAGCTTTTTTTTTTTTTTTTTTTTTTTTCTCCTTTTTATCGGTTCCGGGGATCGAACTCACGACTGCCTGCTTGCAAGGCAGGCACTTATGCCGCTGAGCTAAATCCCCAGCCCCCAACTCTAGCTTTTTAAAAAAAGTTTTGAGGCAGGGTCTCCCTAAGCAGCTAAATTTCCCCGCCAACTTGGCCACTCTGAGAACACGGAGCCTGCACTTGGGCCTGCAGGTGCCGGGTGGGGGAGGGGCGGGATGAAAAGGCCTGGCGCCCCTCTCTCCACTGCTTCTCCTTCGCATCCGAGGCTGCTCAGCTCTGCACGTAGCACTGGGCTGCTGCTTCGCTTTCTCCCCCTCCGTTCTGTCCCCGCAGCTCTATCTTAAGCCTGACCCCGCACGTCCAGGATGTTTTTGCACAGAACTATGGTGCCAACCTCAAAAATTCGGCCTCCAGAACAAGTTGACCATGACCGCCTGGTGGTCACAGGAGAGGTCATCTTCTGGAACCGTGCCCCTGACCAGGGGACACTTCCTAGACTTAAGCTAAGCCCAGCAGACATGTCCAAACAGGCTTCTACCATCTGAGGAGCAGGTGGTCTGTGTCCAGGGTGATGCTTTCAGCTTCCCCCAGGGAGGCACCCCCTGTGCAAATGCGTGTGCACTCACAATGCCTCACTTCCTGTCCTTTCCAGCATTTTCGTGCCTGCAGGTCCTGCCCGATAGTGACACTGACAGCTGCACCCTTCTTACGGTTTCCTTCACTAAACCGTGGGAACCGTCTGGTGCATGTAGTCGGAGCAAAGGGAGAAATAGTTAAGCACATGCCCAGTTGTTTTCTTTAGATTGAAATAAATTAATTTTTATCCTCTAAAATTACATTTATTAGATTGAAATTAATTTTCTTTAACTAGAAAAATTGGACTGTATTGTACATTAAGGCCATTTTGATTTTTTTTTTTATTATGAGGGAATGAACCCAGGGCCTTTGTTAGATTGCCACATTACCAGCCATTTTTATGCTTTGATTTTGAGGCAGTGTAATGAGACCTGAACGTTTGATTTTCTTGCTTAGGTCTCTCTGTGCCGTCATTACAGATGTGCGCCACTACAACTACGAATTCTGATATCTAGGTCAGTCATTTTCAACTTCTGTGTTGTGCCTCTTACCCAAATGACTCACAAGCAATTATATTTTTAAATTTATTTTATTTCCTTTTTATTGTTTGGTACTAGGGATCAAACTCACAATGGCGCATTTGCCAAGCAGAACCCTGTGCCACTGAGCTAAACCCCCAGACCAATAAGCAATTTAATTTAAAACCAGGGCTGACGTTGTAAGCATAGAGCACATGTTGAGCATGTTACAAGACCTTGACTTGATCCCTAGCACCAAAAAAGTAAGTGGAACAAAAGTAAAAACATCAATCCTCAGCTGGGTGTGGTGGTGCAACTCCTGTAATCCCAGCACTCGGGAGGCCTGAGGCAGGCAGATCATTGCAAGTTGGAGACCAGCCTGGGCTACAAAGTGATCCCAAGATCAGCCTGAACTGCATAGCGAGACCCTCTCTCAAAAAGAAAAAAAAAAAAATCAATCCTCAATACTGACACACCACACACACACACACACACACACACACACACATATATGAAAAACATTAATACTAACAAATGAAAACAACCATTTCTAGGCAATATTAAAGATTAAATATCCTTCCTAAAAAGAAGTTGGCGGTTCCAGCTGTTACACAGGTAAACTCTTAGAAGCCTTGCTTTTGAAGCAGTGGCCAGACTCTGCAATACAGTTCCATGGACCATCTCTGACTACTCACTAGAGGCAATGTCTTAGTCCATTTTGTGCTGCCATGACACAGCACCCAATACTGGGCAGTTTATAAAGCACATGTTCTGGAAGCTGGGAAGTCTTCGGTTGAGGAGATCCAACTGGTGAGAACCTTCCTGCTGCTCTGGTGGAAGGCAGAAAGGTGGGAGGGGGCTAAACATGATTTTATAACAAATCTCTCACTATTGGTGATGATGCTGATAAAATAATAAAAAAGAACCCGGATGTAGTTCAGTGCAAAGATCCTGGGTCAATCCACAGTAGTGCAACACAAACAAACCAACAGAGGGAACTCCCATTAATCTGCGGGGGTTCTGCCCTCATGAACTAAGCAGCACTCGCACTGAGGGTTATTTCTAACACAGACACTTTGGAGGACATATTCAAACTGCAGCAATTGTATGCACTAATTCATACAATTCTCCTAGGATTGTGGCAAATAGTTCTCAGTCTTAGCTAAAACTCAGTCCATGGTTTGGCATATCATTCTGTTAAAAGCTTTTCCATTTACATCAGAGGGCCACAGCTCTAGAAAAAAGTATCAGTTAAATTCCAGTTTACAGTTACCTGTGAGCAGGCTGTGCTACATGGTTTCAGTAATGTGGAAAACCATGTAATTCTTTTTTTTTTTTTTTTTTTGTCTTTTTCGTTTTTATCGGTACTAGGGATCGAACTCATGACTGCCTGCCTACAAGGTAGGCGCTTATGCCGCTGAGCTAAATCCCCAGCCCCCACCATGTAATTCTTTAGATGTGTGAAGAGTACCTCAGGAATTTATCTTACGTATGTGTACCAGTTTTCCATTGATGCTTCACTAATTTTTACAGTATGAAACTGACTCTAGCCCCTTTCAGAGCAAAAAAATAAAATATAAAAATGCAACTGCCAATCCTCCATTCGCTTCCAAATGTCTCTACAAAGATTTCCAAGGATCTGCATTCCCACTGCCATTCAGTTTAACCCATTTCTACCATATTTCTAACCTAGTCTTGGGGTTGCTAATTTTGCTATCTATTCCCTTTCCACTTTATGACTAGTAATTTTTCCAAAATGGAAATCTGTTCATGCATCTGCAGAGCTTTAGAAAAGACCTTTAACAGCACCTAACTTACCTAATAATCCAGAGTCCTCAGTATACTTTTCTAGGGTCTGGGTGGAAAAATAACAAACTCATGATCAACAGTCAACACAGAGCACTTGTATATCCAAATGTGTAGGAATTCCTCCCCATCCCCATCACTAGGCAAGTAGTCCTTCAGCAGTGGACAGCAGCGAGATGTCCCCTAATTCTGCTCAAATCTGAATAATCCACCTGGAGGAAATGTCAGATCTCAGAAGTTTCAAGCTCAGTCCCAAAAGATGACCCTCACTTCCAATGCCTACTGTAAGACCCAGAGTGTTTTATCTGTGTTTCTGATCTATAAATTGGGGTTCCTACAACCCTCTCCTTGGGTTTCATTGATTTATAAATGCAACTCTCTGCCCAGGGGAACATTTCCTTGGGTTACTGGTTTTATGTAAGGGTTACTACAAAGGATACAGATAAAGCCATGCATCAGGCCAGATCTGAGGGAAGGGTTACAGGACATCCCTGCCCTCTATTGGGTATCTGCTCTCTGGGACCCTCCCTGGATGTCAACTTTGAAATCAGTCTTTGTGGGTTTTTATGGAGGCTTCATTAGTTAAGTGAAATTGACAAACTCATTGGTCATTGATAATCAACTCAACCTGCAGACCCCTGCTGGTTACAGTGAGAAGAGGGAGATGAAAATTCCAGCCCTTCGATCAGCCTTGATCTTTCCAGTGACTGATACCCATTCTGAAAGTTCCTAGAGTGGCCAGTCACAGAAAGTCACTTTGTCACAAAAAGACAAAGTTTCCAAGGATGTCGGAGCCATGAGGTAAGAAAGAGGGCATGTCACCTAAGGATCCAGGTCAGGGACCACCAATGGCATTGTGAGCTGATTCCATCATTGTATGAGCTTACATAAATGTAGATGACATCACCTAGGACACCCCAGACCACAGTGTGGTCTCATGGGACCACCGTTAACAGATTCGGACTCCTGGTGACAGCAA